GCATCGGTCCCTGGGGAGTCAAGGCGGTGCAGGAGGTAATGCAGCGCCATTTTAACTGCATCATTTGCCCAAGTAGCCAAACTTCAGGGGGTCGAACAGCGGGTCTGTGATGTCCTTCAGGTGGGCCAACATCAGTCTTTCAAAGCACTTCATGACATTAGGGTAACAGGCCTGTAGTTGTAGAGACTGTTGATGTATTGTAAAACTACTATTCAGGAACAGATATCGAAGTCAAAGTATCGGTAATGAAAACTCTGGAATGATACCCAGCCCTACTACTACAGCACTATGGAGTTGTTTTTCCTAGCGGGACCCCCATTTTGTTTATTCGTGCACATGCACAAGGAAGCATGCAGGTGAAGCAATACATTGTCTACTCATCAACAAATGGCAGTAACATGCCAAATAATGCTGCAAAGGCAGGGAAGAAGAACCCTGCAAGCAGTAAACATGGAAATAGACAATGCAGAATTTAAAATACCTTAAAAATCTGTTTTGCAAATGTTTTATGAGAAAGAAAATGCCTTAGACAGGTTTGTCACACCTTAGTGAACATCATTCAATGGAAAGATAAATTGGTTCTTTACAAGAAAACTCCACAGGACACCTTTGTCTTACTTTTTATATAAGAATATAATTGTACTTTACGTACAAAGTCAAAGGTGAGTTGTGTGAACAGTTTGTTTGCAGCAACTCCTCATCAATACAATCCTGCATTATCAGTTGTATGGAATGTCAACATAAATCTGAACCCCAAATATGTTGCTCTTACTTTGCTCATCTGTAAATATAATTATTAGCTACTACAATCCTCTGTTAAACCCAGCATGTTGACAGTGACAGCACACTGTTATTTAAAAAACAACAACTGGGGAATACAGTGTTAGAGAGCTGAGGGTATGGAAGGTCAGTGGGAATGATGTGATTAAAGTTAATGAAATGAAGTTAATGAACAACTAGCCCAGTTTCAGAAGTGAGCAGCGCTACAGGAAACCTGCCACTGGTGTTCTTCCAGGGAGACCGAGTTTTTGTGCTTCAGACATTCCAGTTAAAAGTTTCGTCTCTAGCCCTCAGGCTGAAATCCTCATGAAGCAGAAAACAAACCTATTTAGCCATACCACTTTGCAAAATTTTGAAGTCACAAACAGCTTTAAATCTGCTTTAAGCTTCAAAACCAAAGCACCTGATCAACTTCACTCATCTACACAAGCTCCAGGAAATCCCCATTGTTGTCTGAATTCCTTCCTGTTTCAAAAAATCCCACTGCTCTGCTTCATAAGAACGGATATTTGCAAGAAACTGTTTGATGTCATTTTCTCTTGATGTTAAATTCTAGTAAAGGGTTGCATAAAGGAAGATTTTCTGCAAAATCAATATCTACGTCTGCCTTGTGTGAGGAGCTTGGTGGCTCATGGGGCAGTCAGGTGATTGGCATTACAAGAACTGGCTCTGCCACTCCTCCTGCACAGGAACTGACAACAGAAAGGATTAAGACCTGCAAACAACCAGCAACTCTGTACTGGCAAGGGCATGTTTTTTTTTCTGCTTCAGCAGCACTCGCGTCCACTGACACATGGACAAAATTTTAACAAGAAAATGCAAATTATGAATTTAACTATGATGTATGATTCCTTCAAAAACATGGGGTGAAAAATGTAGGGGCTGTGTAATAATTCTGCTGCGGTGTGAAGCCTATGCCTAAATTTGGAGCAAGGTGAACACCTACATAGTTTGGCTGCACACACAGTGCGGGTAGAGAACAAAATACCGTCTTGCCCTTGACTGAGGTAGGTACTTTTCCTAAAGAGCTTTGCAGCTATGATGCCAATAAAGCACAACTCAGAGCAGAGTCAAAAAAAAAAAAAAAACCCTCACCCCCGATGGTGCTCTCCTGGTACTCATGGAACTGGCCTTTGACAAAGCGCAGCACCAAGCTGGACTTTCCCACTGCCGACTCCCCCAGCAGCACTAGCTTAAACTGGCATATTTTGTTGCTTGCTGCAGTGCCGTTGGTCCGTGCTGGTGCACCTCGTCCTGCCGCACCTCGTCCTGCCATAGTGCAGTGCTGAAAATTGGGAGAAAGAAGAAGAAGGTGGGAGAAGAGGGAGGAAGTCCAGATGATCTTAGTTGCTAGGGCTGGGTGAGGCTGAGTTGGACGAGGGCAAGTTCAACTCAGGCAGGTCGATGATCCAGAGGAAGAGGAGGCCTCACCAGCGGGAACTGAAAAATACAAGATAAGCAGTGTTAAGATCTATCCCGTTAAACAATCATGTTAGTACAATTTATCCCATGAAAACCCGGTGACAAGATTAATTCTCTGTTCCTGCTGGCAATCAATAATACACTTCCTCAAGTAAAATATACTGTAAAATCTGTCAGCACTAAAGCTTTTGTTTTAGCCCAAATGGTTGTTGGACAACTTAAAGTCAGAGCTGCTGACAAAGAAACTTGCATCACTGAGATTGAGCCTCCAGATAAAGAGTTTAATATTTAACCATGTTCAATATAAAAAAATAAATGTAAGTAATGGAGGTGAATGCTGACTTTCTCCTTTGCAACTTGCCATCAGTCTTGCTCCTACAGTTCATCCTGACAATGTGTGACAACCTGTGTGAGGATTTTTCCTTTTTAAAATATATACATAGTAATGATGTGTATGAGGAGAACTGATGGTGAAAGTGTACAGTGTAAAATATTAAAAACAAAAACTCAGGATGTTATGTGTATGTAAAGCAGAGAAATTAGCGTGACACCCAACCATAAGCTCAACACATTTGTTCCTGTGACTCATCTCTAAAAAAAGTGTCTGGCCACAGTTTGAAGTCATGACCATACAGTGTTAAAACAGTTTCCACGTAGCACCACCAAACCCAGACGACGAAGTGAACATTAAACGACAAATCAGCAAGTTGAAAACAAAAATGCTTTAACACATAAACGTCCTGTAACATTTAGCTTTACAAGGACCAGGCTGACTCTACAAAAACTTTGTTTCAGCTCAGTCCTGCTGTAGCATTCAGGCAGGTGACAATCAGAGCTAAGAAGAACCTAATAATTCAAAGGTTGACTTAAAAAAACAACTTTTTAGAAGTGTTTCAGCCAGCCTGCTATGCTAACAGCATAGCAACAGAGCTATCCTCTTTACTCTGGCCTGCTTTGAGTATGTGAAACCTTGCCTAATACTTTTTTCAGTTGGGTGATACACATGAGGTCAGGCAGCTTCTGCTTGGTCAAAGGACAGGAAACACAACTCAGCGCAAAGCAGGAAGTGAAGACTGCAGAAGACATTTTACTGCTGAGCACAGTAAAACTTGGGATAGCCTCAGCTTTGTCACTGGAACTATTTAATGCAGAAATACAAAGCATACCCAAAACATCTGGGCTATTCTTGAGTGAGAAGGGAAATGACAAGAATAATAAAACCTTAAATAATAGTCTGACAGTTTATGGAGTCTGGCTGTTTCAGGCTTTTTCTCAGCTCACTGCTGAGCTGGGCTTAATCATCAGCATATGACAGGAGACCTCTTCCAGTGAACTATTCAGAGTTGGCATGTTTCATTTGACAGTGCACAAACCATACCAAATACCTGATTTCTGGTTGTACAAGTTTAATTTGAGCATTCACTATTGCTTATAAAAAAATACAATGCAATTTATAAAGAGGCTCCAACTACACCAGAAGGTGCATGGATGTACAACCAGTGTCCAACTAGAGACGACATCACCATTAGTGCACTAAAAGTTTCAGTGGACTCCAGCTCAAGGACACACACTCTCACAAGGCCTGAAAGAATGGAGGGTATCCTCCACAGCATCAGCAGCAGAGCTGAAGAAGGAATAAAGGCACTCTGTTCCCTGGGTCAGCATTCTGTATTAATTTGACTGCAAGCATCAGAACTGAGCTCTCACCGGTGTAGATTCCTCACTAGAATAAACAAAAAAGGAGGGGCTGATTGACTGAGTTGGTGGAAAACTAATTGCTTTTCAAAAGTTGTCTTGAATAGAAAATGCAATCAAGAATAGCATTTTGGGAACAATTTTATTTATAATTCATTCCAGCTAAATTTAACAAAAAGTTGGCCTTTAAAATAAAATAATAATTTTGTTGGCTCAGGGAAAATGCTCATTTGGAAGGTTTGAATATGACAGGTGGTTAACAAACATATCAACAATAGGGCTTAGTAGGGTTTTGTTAAGTAGTAAATTTACTACACAAAAACACTGTTGCAGCCATTCACATGGGAGGAAGGAAGCTTTAAGGAACATAAGAGTGACATATAGCAGCAAAACAGACTGTGTGTCCTGGCTGAAGATTTGTTTTTACCAAAAAAAAAACAAAAAAAAAAAAAAAAACAGCTGACTAGCTTGCAATCACATTGTCTTCCTCTTACACTGTGACATACACGCACACATCTTAAGCAGCCTGTGAAGGATGCTGTGATGGCACCCTAATGGGCTCTGAAGACCTCTGTAGCAAAGTAGGTCACAGAGAGACAGTGGGACAAGGGTCAGAGTGGGGGGGGACCACCAGGAAGAGGGAACAGACTAGAAGGAAAGCCTCTAAAATATTCATTACGGCCTCCTGTGTACTCTACTGCCAGCATGATATCCAAGTACTTAGCAGGGATTGCACTGCACCGATCACCTAACTATGAGAATGCATGCACAAATTAAATACCAGTACACATATGCGGAACCCATTTATGGAAATTTTAATCATATCCAAATCCTGTATCAAAAACTTAAGAAAAAAAAAAAGGACACTCACTTAATAAATAATTGCTATAGAGTGCCATAGTAGTGAGTCCTAAAACCTGAAACTCAGTTACCATTTTTGCATTTTCAGTTCTCTCGCCCTAGAATCAATGGAGTTTTTTTTTAATGGGTTTTGTTTACATGCCTGAAAAAAAGGTCTGTGGTTAACACAAGGCCAATCCATTTTCCCATTTTGTTCTATAAAAAAAATAAAATATGACCTCACCCATGATTTTTAATGCTTTTACAGGTCTTAAAAAAGGCAGCTGCTAATAAGTGAGAATACAGAGGCTGTCTGGGATTTTACACACCATCACTGAGACTCATCTACTTATTAGTCTGCCTTTACAGCCTCATTAGTTTTAAACTCACACACTTGCAAACTATTCTGACAGACAGCCATGATCGTTAGCTAGTTCAGGCCAAGTGAAGAGGAAAGGATTTTGTAGAAGAGATAAGTGCTAGAAATCAAATTATAAGATGGAAGCCATGGTGGTGACAATGAAGGCATGGGACTGTGGTATAGTTCATTTGTAGCCTAACAAAAGCTTTTTCCTTCAGGTTATTGTATATATGGGCTTCGAAAATAATTAAAGTGATGTTCACTTATGACGATTATCTGAACAAAACATTTGTCATAGAGCTTATTTTCCACAATAATCCAGAAGCCTATGGTGAAATCCCCATTGGCTTTTTGTCAAGGAAACCGGGCGATGCTAACTTCTGGGTTGGCATACAAAATAAACTTTATCCCTTCGGCACTCTATTCACTCTGTGAAAGCATATGCTTTGGTCTCCCGCAGTCAAATAATGGCTCCCTCCCCATGTGTCTTGCTGTCTCATGTAAAGCTACATAAAAAACAACAACAAATCAGAAATGATATCAACTGTAGTATTACTCACTAATGACAGTAATAAATGTTGATGAACTATTGCTTATACTACATACACCAGCAAAATGATTACATCTCAATTCCTTTCAACAGCTTCCTCGAATGTTTCATGACTTCTAAGTTTCCAAGAAAAGAGGCATTTTGGGTATATTGTATTTTGCAGTGTCATATTTTGTACAATATCTTCAGGGAAGAAGTGTCTGTGGCATAAATACTTAGTTTGTACTCTTCTCTTGATACCTAAAATTTGGGAGTTTTTGGCCTAATTTTGTTCTAATAATGAAGTAAGAAAAGATAAATACCTGGTTGCTTTCTGTTTGTTTTACATGATAATTTGTGCACAAGGTACACAGCTAGTGTATACACAAAATACACTTATAATTGATTGTATAATAAACGGTTCAAGACCACGCAATGGAAAAAAATCATAACTGTCACAGTAGCAGCAGTAGCCTTTACGGCCGCAGACTCTATAGCAGTTACAAGACAAGTAGGGACTTGTGCTGTTCACTTTATTTGAAGGGTGGAGTCCTGAAAGAACTGCTGGTGTCTGATAATGAGGGGCTGCATTACTATCCTCCTTTTGTCTATTACGCCAAATGGTTAAACTATTGCCTGAATGTAGGAAATTTCCATGTAATGTGGAACCATATATTCAAAACCTACACATGCACAATATACTTTTATGGGTAACATTTTGCCCCAAGACAACAACAAAGATGCACAAGTAGAACAATCACTGAGATCTCAAATCAAACAGGAAATGCTCTTGATCCACTACTGAGGTTCTAATAAAAAATGGATTTAGAAACGGTGCCAGTTTGGATGGCAAACTGGTGACATAATTCAGGAAAAGCAAAGAGGATACTCATCACTAGCTCTTAGCAAGGCCAAAAGGAAATCAGACGCACTTCCATTTCTCATGACCTCTGTGTGAGTGTGCAACTTCAGACAGAATTGAAATATGTCATGTTAGAAAAACGAGTGGTGTCCTTAATAAACTCAAAAACAAATTCTGTGTAAAAAAAATATTCAGTGATTCTTTAAGGGCTGGTTTGTTGATGCGTCACCTCTTTAGGAGGACAAGGTCCATTTACCATGAACATAACCAGAGATCAACCAAGCATCTATAATACCCCTCTGTCTCAAAGGTCCAAGCTCTGCCACCATTATTAAGCCATAAAAAGGAGCAATGATGATAGACGCATATGTGAATATATTTGTTGATAAAGGTGGCTCGGGCATCTGTTTCGGGCACCTTCCTAGGGAGGTGTTCTGGGCATGTCCCACCGGGAGGAGGCCCCGGGGAAGACCCAGGACACGCTGGAGGGACTATGTCTCTCGGCTGGCCTGGGAACGCCGCGGCATTCCCCCGGAGGAGCTGGAGGAAGTGTCTGGAGAGAGGGAAGTCTGGGCATCTATGCTTAGACTGCTGCCCCCGCGACCCAGTCCCGGATAAGCGGAGGAAAATGGATGGATGGATGGATGGATGCCATGTGCGGACACATAATAACCTCAAGAACGTAAATTGACAGAATTACAACACAAATGTTGTCAGCAGTAATGGCACCTTTATGAGACTTAATGTGATGCCACAGCCTGCCAGCATTTACTGATGTGTGAGTGAAAAGTTGTGAAACATTAAAGCTTCAAGGCAAATGTATAAATTGCGAATGCTAAAGATGGAAAAAAAAACTGTCAGTGACAACCACTAGTTTCTAGGTAATTTAACATTTAAAAAATATATCTACTTAAATCAAAATTCTTATTTATGTGACTTGACTAACGTTATAATTCAGTCTCAAATGTAAAACAGACACTGTCTTGACTGGCAGCTTGGGCTGAGGACTGTGATGCCTTTATAAAAAAAAAAACCTATGGGTTTAACCAAGTAGTTTAACTTAACTGTACCACATTTGTGGCCTACACTAGAGTACTTTTATTTAAGTACAAGTACAAGCTACAGCTATGCCCAGGTTAGCTTAGTAAATGAATTTTACCTCTGCCTGCTTGAGACTAGGTTTAGCAGAACCATAAACTCTTAGCTCTTAAAGGTAATACAGATAGCGTTACACGATGGCATGAAAGTAGCATTAGCTAACCACAATGTAGCTAAAGTTATATTTATTAGTGACAGCTATAGCGTTAGTTCACTACGATAGCCAACCAAAACAAGACAACCGTTATCATTAACTTTGATAGCATAATGTTACAGTTTGCTAACGTTAACTAATGAAATAAGCGTCGACTACATAATGCCAGATATTTACCTAACTGAACGCCTAACATCAGCACTAGCTTGCCAGAGTAAACTGACTACAAAACGAATGCTAATCCCTGCAAAAGGAAAACTTTTACTCTGGTAGCGTTAGCTAGGTTAGCGGCTATGGCCAAGTGTCGAAAACGTCATTAAGCTAGACAACTTTCTTTTTCTCGGCCCCACGTCGTCGGCTGGTTGATATATAACAAACTATGGCACTCGGATTTGTTATTGTGTCTACTGCTGGCATACATCGATGTCATATAACTACTTCTCAGTTACTTTAATACAGGTGACAAAAGATTTTTGAGCATTTTTTGCGGTCTCACGGTGCTCGTAGCCTCAACTAGTCCAGTCTGATGGACATCTCACCTGAACCCGGACTTGCCTGATCAATTGAGTAAAATTTGGAAGAAGCTATCCAAATACGGCTAATAGTTCGCTGACAGTAAAGTCCAACGTGTATTCAGTATTCTTCGTTACCCCCACCTTTCACAATGTCAAGCGGTTTGACTTACAATACTTTTACTTCTCTTGTTGATCTCATCTGCAACAGTGGTAACGGCAGCGGGCGTCTGCTTCTGCTTCTGCTTCTTCTTGGGCTCTGGCCTTTCCTTCCGGTTAGAGACTTTTTCCGGGAACCTCCCACTTTTTGTCAGCGCCTGTCTGACCAATGACAGCAACAAGCTTCTGCTGCACAAGTCGATGGTACTGCTGTACAGAGGGCGTTTGCATGGCCCCGTAGTCTTAATTTAAAACTTAGGGGTGGAAGATGTACTCACACCCTTCACTTAAGTAAAAGCACCAGTATGTCAATATAAAATAATCCATTAAAGTAAAAATCCAACTGAAATTAAAGTACACAAGTAGGCCTATTCTCAATAATGCATCAATTAAACATGCAACATTAGCTGCATTAGTTTTAACTAGTCTACATCCCATGGTTCCCAATTTATGGATCAGACCCCTTGAAAGGGTCACAAGAAACATCTCTTTCTTTCTTTCTTTCTTTTTAAGTGAGGCAAAAATACATTTAATAATTTTACCACATTCCACAGCAATTTAAATTAAGATATCTGAGAATCTGGAGAAACTGGTAACAACTACTAGATTACTGCTACTGCATTTGAATGGGATACAAGCCAAAATGGTCTGGAACAGCTGGCTTAATCTTTAACAATGTATTGTTTTATACAGTTATTATTTGAGAAGTGTTAATCTGAAAGGAAACTGGTAAACATATAGTAATTCTATCTGCCAGATAAATGTAGAGTAATATTGTTAATATTTAGCCCACCACTGAAATATGGTGAAATAGAAGCATAAAGTAGCATAAAATAGAAATACTCAAGTAAAGTACATCAAAATTGCACTTAAATACAGTGTTTGAGTCAATATAGTTACTTTTCAGCACTGAAATTTACAGTATATGTATATCAGTCATCATGTAGATGTATTATCTGATTTATTTTTAAAAGTAAAAATAATACCTGAATAGCTCAAGCAGTTTCAACAATATCAAAATCTTCTAGTTGGTGTTTCTTACCTACCAGTTTCTTCAATTAACTTTTACAATTCTTCTTGACATGCACTCATCTTGTGTTTGTTTTATTCACTCTGATGCTAGTGGCATTTAATTCTACATTTACATGGGTGGTTGTTACTGCTAGGCTGCAGCACAATGAAGCATGCAGCCTAAATAATGTATAGCAGTTATAATGTAGAGTCAGATTGCATGCTTATCATCATCCTTCTTATAACCCAGGTGATGTTCTCAACTCAGTACCAGTCATGTATCTCCTCTTTGAATGATGAGATTGAGGCATGAAATATTAAGAGTCCTTATGGTGCACCATCTTGTCCTGATATTGCTGAAATGCTGGTGCACCAAAATTAATTCAAATATAAATTTTATTTTATGTGTGTCTGAGATATAGTTCCCTTCACATATTAAAGGTACATTCACTATGAAAGAGTATTGGCATGTACTGTATGTCTGACAACTTGGTTGCATCCTGATATAAAACAACATTAGCTAAAAAAAGGACTGAAAAATTCTGAATCACCCCAAAAGCCTTTTCCCACGCTTTTTCCTCAAGTGGTAACATTCACTGTGGGACCCTGGTCTGGCAAATGCTCAGATGTGTTTTGATGAGATTGAAATTTTAAAATATATCATAAAAATAAAAAGAATCAAAATAACACCCTACTGCAAAATACTGTGATTTCACTGTTACCTAAGTACACAGTTGCACTACAGATTTCCACTCAGTCTTTACTTCATCAGAATTTTATATTTAGGTTTGTTCTCCTCTGCTTGGATGAAATAATTGCATTTTGTTGCTGTTTGCACTTGTCACCACTGAGTGATGCTACATACATGTAGCTCAGAGTTTGCCTGGACACACTGGTATAATAGTGAAGACTGGTGTAAATAGTAAATCATCCTTGTGCTATTTTCTTGTATTGTTCTTGATAAAAAAAAAAGCACAAATGCAGCTGAATACTGGAGGATGAGAGTTTGGTTTGCATGACTGCATACAGCCTAATAATGCATTTGTCCCTCTTATGGTTACTGTATACCAGTATACTACTCTCAACCAAAATGTAGTTTTGTTATTATATACAAATATAAATAAAAACAAATAAAAACATAAATACAACCCATTAAAGCTTGATTTATTTAGTTGTGGCAGTATGGTTTCATCAGCTCTTTGTGCATTTTGTTGGCAAACAGCATTACAGGTAAGAGTCTTAAACAGTATAATAAAGCCATCAAAGAAACAGTAGCACAACAAAATACTAATGTTATCACTGCGGGGTCTGCATTCCCTCCATTTCCAAAAGAGATGGTTGAACGTCTACTGTTGGAGTACTGGCTCTTATATTGTCTGCCCTCTCTTGAGACAGAGAAGCTCTACACTCTGTTACCTGCCCCAGCAGAGAACATGCAAGGTCCTGTGTGTGGCGGATAGGGCTAGATCCTATCAGGTCATTGTGTCTGGGGCCATTAATAGAGCTCTGTTGGATGTGCCCTGTGCATACTGAGGTGTGGACCCCTGTGGTGGCCAGAGAGCTGAAGGCAGTGTGATACTGTGCCTGGCCAGTGGGAGTGATGGAGGAATGGATGGGTGTCTGAGATTTGGTCTGATTATGTGCAGGATCAAGGATGGTTTGAACACTCAGAGGTGGATGGGTGTAGGCAGAATTTACTGGGAAACATAGAGGGTAAGAGCTGCTTACTGTGGGAACAGAGGAATTGTAAGACACCTGAGAGGCTTGACAAATCACTGGAAAGCTATTGAAGGGAGAACTGAGGGCCAGTAATGGTGGACCTCCTTGGTCATGAGAGTAGGTAATGTAAGAAGAATTTGGATTTCTTGTTGGAGTTTGGAAGGCACCACACTGGTTCTGTAGCCTATGACTGGTGGCTCCTTCTCTGTCAGAGCAGCACAGGTGTAACAAGGATGACATAGGGCTAGAAGAGTGCAGCAGTGTGGGACCCTTTCCCTGGGAGGGCATACCATTGCAGCCCCACACATTTCTGGCAGGGTGGCTGATTGCTTCATGATGGAGGTGCCCGGTGGATATATTTAAAGGGACATGGGGCTGCCAGTCACTGGAAACAGTCACACTAGGACTGGGAACCATCTGTATTCCAAAAGAATATGGGGATACAGGTGAGGTATGATGAAGCATGGCCATATGAGACTGTAGGAAATGCATCATGTCATGAAGCTCCTTGGTGAGGCTTGATACTTTCTGGTTCAAATTGTTCACCTAAAAAGAAAAAGGAACAGTTGGTTGCATGGCCTAGATGCTTCAGATACTAGAATTAAAATTGGAGCAAATTCACTTAGTTTCACTTTTTTTTCTTCTATTTTTGTGTCATTAAGTTTGCCCATTATTGACTGTACCTCTCTGTTCAGTTTGCTGATGTTCTGTCTTATTTCCTCTGTCTCCAAAAGCCGGTGAGCACTTGCTTGTAACTGGTCTAAGAAGGGATGAAAAATACAATATATCTGAGACCGGCCTTTTCACTGTTGAGTAGGCACAGAATAATGAGACATCTAATCCCAAATTAGTAGGTTAAACATAGTGAAGAGACAGTCATAATGTCAAAATGTGATAACTTCTTGTTTAATCAGTCTTGCATAGTTTAGAAATAAGCATTTGTTAATGAAAAGTGTTTACTCAAGAGGGGCTTTTTGCCTCAGTTCAATGCAATTCACTTTTCATCCATTGTAAAGCTTTTCAGGGACTTTACCTGCTACATTAGTCATCGCCTCACTCTGCTCTACATTAAATTGAAATGCGTCACCATTGTCCTCAATTCCATCCACGACCCTAGCAGAGACACAAATCAATTTTGTATAATTTTAAATGGGTCCAAACTGATTACAGACTCATATTTAGATAAAGCAGGAATATGTCACCTGGGGCTAAGGCTCACTGGACTTATACAGTGCATGGAAGGCATGAGAAGCTTGACAGGCTGGTGGTTCAAGCCTGGGTCACTGGTAAGACTGGACAAATGAGAGGGAGAGAGCTGCTCATGTGTGAAAGGCTGAGGAGTAGGGCTGTGACCTCTCCTGCACGGAACAGGTGACTGGCAAGGATGGAGTGCACTGAGGTGGCTGAGCTCATCTCCTAACAGGGTGCTGAGACAGGGCTGATGGACAGAGCCACCCATTCCTTGTGGCAGAGGGACTCTTCTCTGCTGAGAGTGTCTCATGTTGTCTCCATGTTCTGCAGCACCTGCCTCAATGATATAGGGTAACGTTTGGTCCATAGAAACATGACCCTGTGCAGAAGAAGGGTGGGAAGTTAGGTGTCTTGCTTTGATTTGTAGAAATAAATTGAAGCTGCTAGAGTCTGCAAGTTTTTGAGGGTAATTGCCCCTTTTATCATTGTACAATCAAGGTTTAAAAGTACAGTAAAGTGGGATATCACTAAGTGTAAAAACACTTGCAGGGAGTTAGATTTAACTTCTGGTGTCACATGTTAAATCAGTGGTGTTGACATGCACCAGAGAGAGTGCTGAATAAAATGTAAGAGCAAAATTGAAAGTTCTTGTTTACTGCAGCAGATCAGAAAACAACCAAACAAACAAACATTTACAGTCTTGCTACATTCAATTCAATTCAAACAACTTAGGGGTGATTTGTTTGGAGCAGCTTGTTACACAGCACAATAAAATAGAACAGAAATAAATAACAGTATAAAACAAACAAGAACTATAAGAAAAAGACCTGAAAAACATGCAGATGATGAAAAGAAGAATCGCCATTCACTTACATTATTAAGTGAACAGATCTTATTGACACTTCTTCTCTGTATGAAGTTGCAAGCGAGCCAGTAAGGTTACGTCTCTGAAAACAGTCTTTGTGGGGCCTATGACTTTCTCATACATTATGCAAAACAAAGTGTGCACATAATACTGATTTTATCAGTGCAACAACATCTTCATTGCCTCTCATTTTAAAAGCCTTGCTTTATTGAGTTTTACAGTAGGCCTATCTGCAGATTTCTTTTAGGCTTGTTCTGTAGAACTGTCACTTAAATTTTGCACTTGTTTTTAGCTACATTTGACATCTTCTTCTCAGATATATGCATGCATTTAGGCAGTTAATGTGCCTTTGTTACACATTTATCATAACTTTTTTTAAGTAAAGCAGACTAACGCTTTGTGATGAAAACATAGAAAGTACATTAACAGAATACCAGAGGAATCAAGCAGATTTAGGCTCATGTAATTATCTTAATGAGGCACACATACCTGAGGCAGCTTGGGAATCTTGGGAGTCCATGGAAACTTTGCTACTCCCTAGAGATATTGAAGTCAAAATTAACGAGAGAGTACACATTATATTTGGTGGCAAATTATAGGTATGTTTCTATTAAAAGGAACAAAGAATTCAGTCACTGGTACATTGAAATGTCTGTCTCTCTCTGCAGTGTTTTTGCATAACCTAAAAATACCAGTAATTGTCTTACTTTAGTTTCATTGCCATCTCTCAAGTTGTAGGTGAGGTTGTGGTGGATGTCGGAGCTGAACCGGCTGCCATACTCCGGGTACAACCCAAGGACCTCCCTCAAAGCCCTAACACTGATGTACTGTAAGTCACAGTAGGTCAGTGCCTTCACATCTGCATTAGTCTTGATCACCTGATCATGTTCTGGAAGATCGGCTCCAATAAGGTCACCTCTGCCTGTAAATAAAAGGGTTACAACAAGGTCCAACACATTTAAAAGATGCAAAATTAGCAAGAGAGGGAATATTTCACGCTTGATACAAACTGACCTAGAATGGCCAGGACCATGCCATCTTTAAGAACCTCCAGGGAACCTGAGCAGACAAAATAGTTGGCTTGTAGGGCGTCTCCATGGCGGATAAGGTATTCTCCTGGAGCACAAAAGGAGGTCTTGATGTGCAGGGAGAGGGAGCGCAGACATCCTCTGCTAGCTGGCTCAAATACAGGCAGCTGCAGGATGTCTTTGTTCAGATGCATGGCAATGTCAGCTCGCAGTTCATCTGGGAAGTCATGCAGCAACTAAGATAGAAGATAGGAACAATTAAGCCTTATTTACCACACTGTTTTGCATTTTTATAGTCCAACTGTTCTGCTGCAACACTTGAGGAGATAGCTCAATCTCTATTGACAATATCACTGTCTCTTCACCTGAAAAAGTGACAGACTGCACACTGCCCATATCAAAAATAATTTCCCTGTTGATGGCTCCGCTGACATACTGTAGGTGGAGCTCATGTGTTGAATAAAAACTTGTGTAAAGGACAGAGTAGCTGTCATAAGCTGGCTGTAACTATGCACTATCTTAGATCTTTTTTATATTTCATTAAGGGAACATGTTTATATATTAGACATAGATTTGGATGCACATGCCATACATCAACTGTAAGTTGAATCTCATGTCCAGCAGAGATGACTCTTTGCATCTGGCAAAGTTAGTCTTTTAGGGGAAGTGGTGAAGGCCAAATCAAAATGAAAAGCACTTGTGCACAACAGGTGCCCTGGGTGTCCAGGAATGCTCATGTTGCTCTATTTCAGCTTATTACGCTAATAATATTTACTGATAATGTTTGTGTGTTTGCTATGTAGTAAAAAGAAAATCAGTGCAACTCTAAATGGGCCCTAATTTAAAATTCATTCATTCATTTTCTACCGCTTAATCCCTGGAGGGGGTCACGGAGCCAATCCAAGCCAGCAATCAGGCAAAGGCGGGGTACACCCTGGACAGGTCGCCAGTCCATCACAGGGCCGACACATAGACGAACAACCATACACACGAACACATACACTCCTATGGGCAAATTAGAGACACCAATCAACCTAAGCCACATGTCTTTGGACTGTGGGAGGAAGCCGGAGTACCCGGAGAGAACCCACGCAAGCACGGGGAGAACATGCAAACTCCACACAGAAAGGCCCTAGGTGGGGCCTGAACCCGGAACCTTCTCGCTGTGAGGCAATGGTGCTAACCACCGCGACACCGTGCTACCCCCTAATTTAAAATATTTAACAAAATGTTTCATTTAAGGCATTTGCTAAATTGTTTTTTGGGGGTATTTGACTTTGAGGTACTATTTAAAGTAACCAAAAATATTTAAATACTCCTTTCACCACTGCTAAATACAAGAACAAACAAAAGGACAGATTGTGGTTTTGAAGGCTGATACACTCACATGACATGTCAAGCTGCTCAGTAAAAGTAGAAATGAGGTGTTAAAGCCAACATGTTCACAGAAACCAGTGTCTGTTACCTTCAGTGAGCAGTGAATTAATTATCTACAGATGGTGATGGTGAGGGTGTTAATGAGTATGCTTTTTGTTTCAGCTCCAACCCTTGTAATTACTGGGAGCTTCTCCTAGATGAGTTCTGGCATTGTTACTGAAGTTATATTTGTAACAAAGTGACTTCTACTTAAGGAAATGCAATAAGAGTTCAATTCTCTGGAGTCAGGAGAATTTTAGGTGACCCATTTTAAGGATGGCATTTCTGAATCAAGAATCTAGCACCCACATAAAATGTACTTTTTCACCATGAAACAAAAACACATTACTACAGCCCACACAATCAGTAGTTCCTATACAGTTCAGTTACTTATTAAAAAGAGACAAAATGTAACAGAAAAACTATTTGAAGATATCACAGGTAAAGGAATACTTTAGCCAAGTGAGCCACAAGAACACTGCTAATTTGCGACTCACCTCATTGGCATTGATGCCATTGTTGACTGACCAAGTGGCCTGGAAATATTCCAGCATTCTCTGCTTCAGCTGCTGAGGTAGCCGGTGCACACGTACGAAGTCTTTCAGATCCTTCATTCGGGTGTGATAGAGAGAGCGCCGCGAGTACATGCGCTGGATGATGGCTGTTACATTGCCAAAGACCACTGCATGCATCAGCGCTGGAGGTAGGAGAGGAAGTAGCCTTCTCAGAATATTTGTCACAATTCTGTGAATTTTCTGTCATCACCGGTAAACTTACCACCCATGAGCATAATACAGACGGAAAAGATTTTCTCGGCATCTGTATTGGCACACACATTGCCAAAACCCACACTGGTTAGGCTACTAAGGGTGAAGTAGAGAGAGGCAATATAGGCGCTAGGCATGGAGGGACCACCCATGGTGCTGTTGATGTATGGCGTCTCAAGACGCTTTCCCAGCTCCTGAAGCCAGCCTGGTGGACAAGGTCAAAAGATGGTTAGGTAAAACTCATGGAAAATCAGTTTTATTTTGTTTTTCTTTGACTCTGCTTCCGTAGATGACCCCCTGTCCTTTGGTAGAGAATATGATGTGTGATAGGTGATATAATGTGGAATGATATAATGTGTTACTGATGATATAACAAAAGTAGTCTGTGACCTACACTTCCTCTGGATTGTTGCAACAAAGTAGATGTTGAAATTATGCCGAGGTATTCAGGCATTCAAGCATGACTAGAGATGTGCAGTGCTGGTTCACTGGGGCTGCCAGGAGAGACACTAAAATGGTTGACTGAGTGAGAAAGAACATTATACCTTGATTCAGTGGTGTGGGAGCTGTCAAACACACATACAATGTGCCCACCTATGTCCCAGGTAACGGGGTCACTGCTTTCTATCTCCTTGCGTCCAATGACGTACCAGACGCAAGCCATCCAGTGAGCCAGCAGAGCGAACACAGACATGAGCAGGGTCAGGACCACAGCACTGTACTGAGAGTAGCGATCCAGCTTCTGTAACAGGCGCAGTAGGCGCAGCAGGCGGACCGTCTTCAACAAGTGCACCAGCGAGGTCTGGACAGGGGGAAGGAGAACATACAATCTGCATCATTTTTGCATGATTTCTTAATAGCCTGTTTCTACACACATAGTTTTGTTCTAAATAGTTTCACTGGTACAATATAACCTATGATGACCCATCCTTTTTTCCCTTTAACTGTAATTCGGTGTCTTTTAATAATTTGTATTGCATATGCTCTGAATTTAATATTACTATTAGGAAACATTTTTTTAACCAGAAAAAAAAAACAAGGCTGCACTTAAACAGATGGCCTGTGTGTCATCTGAGGCTTGTGGCAAAGTAAGACTACTCCATGAGAAGTAATGTTTATCTTAAATTAAAGATAAAACTGAAGCGAGCTGAGAACTGAGAATACTCAGTGAAGTAGGTGAATGTAGTGCTCCGGGGAGAATAACACTACTAAAACACTGGCTCGTCTTCCAGTTAGAGTAAAGAGAGAGGAAAGTATAAAACCCAAGGTCATACTGTACTTTCAGACACATAAAATGATTATCTTACCACCGTGATGTTGAAAGCGTAGAGAAGGTCAAAGGGCAACGCTGCAATCAGATCGACAAAGAACCATGTGGTGCAGTAATGGAGACAGATGGATCGGGTGTCGTACACTACCTGACCTGACTGACTCACATAGCTGGTACGAAAATTCAGGACAATATCTGAAAATGAGGAATGAGAACAGAAGGAAAAGAAAATGATCACAAAACAGAAATAATATGTCAAGAGAAAAAACATGTTGTCACTTACTTCAAAATACTGTGAGTGATGAGCTTCTAGCTTTGCCAGAAATCATTCATAGGACTAACTGTGTTTAGATTGTAATGCAACTAACATAACTTAGCAGATCCCGGTTGTGGGTAGCATAAATAAATAAATGATAAGATTATCAGTCAGTCAGCTTCGATTTTGCAATGTAATATTTTATGTTAGTCATCAGTTATTTGTATAAAACTACGTGCAGCAGTTGTTGTGCTGGTAATAGCTAATCAGCATTCGAATAGATAAATAAACTCATTCTACATTAACGATTGAAAAACAAGGTGAACTGCAGACTGACATTATGAAAATAATTTTTATTTGTATGCGCAAAATAATATTAGGATTTTCAGCAGCACGTGAACCACTTGAGGTGATATGTGCTTGGTGGTATATTTAGCTTTTCACTAGCACTTATGCTGAAAAGACAAGTTCTTCTCTTGTTTTTTTGCAAAAGGTTGAATGGAGAGGGTTCATGAATTTGAATGAAATTAAGTCAAGCTTTAAAGGACAAGGACAAGCATTAGACATTCAGTAGTGCTCCGCTCATAATGCCTTCACTGAGATTTCCCATAAAAATGTTTTACTTTCACAAAAAGGAAAGATTGAGCAACAGCATGTGATAAAGCCTGAGCCATTTTTAGGCTGAAACATTACTGTCTGTCTCCAGACAAACTTGCTGAGCGAGATGAAGTCAGTGAGTGCATTGTCAGATGTGCTATTACACTTCCTTTGGAGGAACAGCGGAACCAAGTGAGAGAAATCCAATTACAATTTGTAACCTGGGGCAACAGAGACATCCCCATTGGGTGAGGAAAGGTATAGGGTTTATCCACGTGTTAGGCATCGCCAGGGAAAGCACTGTAGCTCCACCGGGAAATATAGCAGCTCTGATTAGAATCAAACTGAAATCACTGTAGGAGATGTAAGAATAAAAAGATAGTGGCTGTTTTAATAAAATTAAATACATCATACCAAGTATGAAGAGCATCTCCACTGCTATATCACTGGCTATAGTGGTGCGACTGACAAGTGAGTGATGGTCACTGCCCTCATCATGACTGACAAAGCAGACGTCGTAAGGCACAGTGACAGCTACATAGAAGGTTGCTAGTAGAATTAACCAGTCCCACAAGGCCTTGGAGATGCTGTAGTGTAACAGGATGAAACGTGACTTCTTCACAGCTGCCACCTTGTACTCAGGCAGAGATGGTTTCTGGAACACACTCTGAAAGACAGGGCTCATATAAATCACATTTAAAAAAATCCTGAAAGTTTCACCAAAATTGAATTCTGAGAAGAAATGAGAATGTTGGAGAGAGGAAGTTTATTTGATTAATTTACTCTGTGTTATAAATCTGAAGTGCTTGGTTTATGTTTATGAGCACCCTGAGGAATAATCCATCTTCTGGATAAATGAAATCATATCTGAAAATGGAAAAGGATTAATGATGTGTATTTTCTTCTGTGCTGACTGAGGGTTATTATCACTATCTTAACATTTTGAATACATTTTCAGTAGACTTAAATCAACTGTTTGTGCCAACAGACTTGCTGATTGGACAGCAGTGGTTTGGATTTGGTCACAGATTTCCACTGGAAGTTAAAGTGCCTATGCCATGCTTTTCGGTTTTCTGACTTATCTACAATGTTACAACGGTGAATTATCATCTTAAAAGTGACTGAAAGCCCAAAAAAAGACATGTAGCTGTGTTGTTGTACTTATATACAGAAGCAAATTGGTCTCACAAACTCACTGGTGGGACTTTTTTTCCAGCTATGTAGTCTAACACAATAGTTCATGGATTTCCTGGAAGGGTCATATTCTCCTGGCTGTGCATGTTCATGTGAGCTTGCCTGACATCCACTGGCACCATTTTAAAAGCTGAATTTTTCAACTGCATACAGTTTTGTGTATATATTTTACTTCTAGCTGCCTGCATCTGACCAGATGATGTGGAGAAAAATTCAGGTTACTGCATGTTCAGGAATGTTCCTGTACAGGGACTCGCTGTTTTACCTGACCGGGTCTAACATGGTGTGAATGAAGCAGCTGAAAACCCATGATCAGCCGGCCAGTGAAGCCCCCCACAGCAGTGAATGATCAGCTCATCAACACTGAATTCCCCTGGAGCACAGTACCTGTTTGTTTTGATGGCTTAAGGCCAGTATGTCTGCTGCATGTGATGGTTTACAGGTTAGAAAGAGGATTCTAAGGATCTATGATGTTATTGTCGGTGCAACGCTACCTGTTTACCTGTAACGCAAGGGATTTATGGGAGATGACCGATTGGATTTAACAGCCTTGAAACTATTTGTAAGAGAATGAAGGTTCTACTACAGGGTGGGATGTAACGGTAAATTTAAAAACCACATATTGCATGCCTGCTAATGTGTTGTTTCTGTAGAAAATTGTTGTAAGGCGGGCAAGGATACTGTGTCTGCATTATGCCAGTTAAAATATGGGGTTTCTTAATTACCTGCTTTGTTTAGAGTGTTGCACATCTCATTTCATTGGTACATATACCATTTTTTATCTGTCTATGGAGGAGAAATTCAAATTATTTAATGCTGCTGTGGTTCATTGTGTGGTCCACTCAACACAACACCAGCAACGGGAGCTGTGCACGTTCACAAACTATCCTCTTGTTTTCAAGAAGAGGCTCTTGGGTTTTATCATTCTGATAAAATAATTACAAACTATTCAGAGTTATGATGGGTGCAAAGCTAATCTAGAGGTACCTATGATTAAATATTAAATGGCTAGAAATGAGCATGCCATGGGCTCTTTAAGTGTTATCTGCATATACATGATATATGATGTAAATTTTAGGTATAAAGAGAAAAATGCTTTTATTGGGACTCACATTGGTCAGTTTCCTCTGGCCTCTTTTGGAGAACATGTTGGTCAGGCCATGCAGGATAGTCCTCCCCCTCTCTTGAGCTTGGGAAAAGTGTGGTCTGTTGTTTTTCTTTCCCTGGTGAGCAGTTTCTGACAGACCTGCGAGCAAAATTATAATACTAAGTTGTGCCATATTCATTTTAGCTTTAAATTATAGAAACAGATGTAGCAGGACGACAACATGATGTAAATAAAAGAGGGACTGTTAACAGCTAGGACATGCAGGTAACCAGGCCTCACCATCTCCTCTGGTGAAATGATGGCATTTCCCATATGACTCACTGACATCTTTGAAAGACAGGAGGAACAACACCACCTCCCCTTTCTCATTTTTAATTGGCACAATATCCAGGAGGCACCAAAATGGATTTCCTGAGGACATCAGAAAAAGATAGTGAGAGTGGTTAATAATAAGGATAGACAGTTTTCCCCAAATATGTTGACTGGATTTCTGTTATCTACTTTTGCTATTTCTATTATCGCTTATTCTTATAACCTCCTCTCACTTATTGCTTTCACAATAAAAGAAATTGAAATAGTTTGAAATGAAAATATCACACAGGTTTAAATTCAAAATTAATTAATGTGTTTCTGAGTCAGTGGCCATACTCACCATTTTTCCTATAGAAGCGGACCTCTCCCTGGTACTCCTGCTGGCCCTCCAGAGCTTTGTCTATCTGTTGGATCACACTTTCATTGGTCTCGGCCCCATGGAGGAAGCTGCAGGTACAAGTTTTCTGCATCACCTCAGTTCTAACAAAGCCGGTCAGCTCGCAAAACCCGTCAGAGCAGTACACGATGGGGTAGCCATAGCGACCCTGAGCATTTCCTAGTAGGAAGTTACTGTCTGTGAGGGGAAATCAAAGAGGACCAAGGTTGGAGGTAAAGCTACTACATGGCATTAATAAAATAGACTGAACAACAGGGAGTATGTTGTGCTTTTCTGACTGAACAGCTGTGACACAGCTTGAGACAGATGCAGCTCTGACAGTATTCAGACATAGCAACCAGCTTAAATCTCAGTCATTTGCTCTGCCTTTAAACTCAGATCCCTTAACCTAGTGTACATCAGAGAGGGCTTTGAATTATCCTGGTGCTGTGTTTGCAGACTAAGGATATATGTAGGGTCACAGGCGGCCCGATGGGGGACCGCTGCCTCTGTGAGGCTCTGGCCCTTAATTAGCATGTGGAACTTTTTTTCATTTTCCCACTGGTTATGCAGTAAATTACAGATTTATTTTTTGCATTAAACAAGTGTTGAATGTCTTTTTAAAAATTCTGTTTTATAAACCATATGAAAAAATGTATTTTGCAAAACTGTGACAGTGGAATTCAATACCCAAATTACAGTCATTTGCCAGTTTATTAATTAGTTCTTGCTGAAATAACTTTAACATTCAGTGATTACATACCCAACTTGCAAAAGAAATAATCCTTATGCATCCCCACTTTGGATGCATAAGGATTATTTCTTTTGCGAGTGGTGGGGATGAAGATCTTGATTCCACTCAGACAGAAATAAAACCCAAACATGTTTGCTAACTGCTGGAACACTGAAGAGTCATTTTAGGGCAGGAAGTGTAGGTGGTGAAGCTGAAGAAAATAATCATGAAACCCTGCCTGTTAACCCTTCAATATTTAGACAGATAGCCAGTCTCCACTGCAGGTTTCTTTAAATGATTCGATTGTTCTTTGAATGCAAGTGAACTAAACCTGAAACAAATATGTTTGTTTGACTGTACTGCTAAACACTGTAATTATGATATTGTTGATAGGACAGTGTTGAACACCTGTGCTGCAGCCAGTTTTAATGAACACTGCTTTTCAATCTCCCTGAGGCTGAAAGGAAACACAGACTGATAATGAGACGGTTTGTTCAGACACATGTAGCTACATGATTTTTACAGTAGACCAGATAAATAAACACTGAACAGGCAGCGGTACGGTTATGTTAATTTCAGAAGTAAAGACATGCAATTAGTGATGCGTGGACATTATTCTTCCTGGTATGTGTGCACTTAATCTCACAAAAACTAAATTAAGATCTTTCCATGCTTGTGTTGCCATAGCAATTTCTGCAGAAGAAAACTGAAACATATGGCAATACTGAAATTTGCATCTGCGAGGTTACCAAGATACTGTGCCCTCTGAAACACAGATGTATCCAAAAAAGAATCTACTAAATTTGCCTCAGTCTGATTCATGCTTACAGTAACTCGTTTATCAGATCTGACTGACTTAGACTGTTTAAGTGCTTACACTGAATGATAGAGAATGAGTTAGACATTGGTTAAGATAAAATGACTCCTCAGGTAAAACTACAGCCTCTTGAAATCTTTGAGATATTTTCAATGTTTCAATAACCTAATCGCCTACATTCTTTTTTCTTCGGTATTGATGCAGATCAGTCAGGTTCCTGTCTCAGCTGTGGTATTCTTAAACAAAGGTAGCCTGTATGCTGATTGACTTTCTTACTGCCTAGGATCAGGCCCTCAGCTTGTTTCTATACCTTTATGGTTTTCAAGAGAACAACAGGGTTCACACTGACAACCATCATCAATGTGGGACTAGCTAAAGGATTGTGTACTTGTCATTTGTTAGTCAATGTTCATTCCTAAAGCTGATGTACTGTAATAGTGAATTATAGCAAATACATTTGCTTACCTCCCTAGTTCGACTGGGCATTCGCTTCTTAGTGAATTATAGCAAATACATTTGCTTTGCTTACCAACTCACCTCCTTAGTTCGACTGGGCATTCGCTTAAGGCATTTGCTTCTTTTCAGTTAAATTGCAATCACTCAAACACTATTACTGTTATCAGTAATTATCCATGACAGCACTTGTGGGGAGGAGATGCACTTCAAACACCTACTTAAGCAATTAGCAGAAGGGTTTCTGAAAAGCAGGGATAACACAAAGCTACAGCTTTCACTGCCTGATACTGTACAGTTATATCACTGGAACAACTTTAAATATAGACCCTGCAGTCCACAATATATAAATATATTCAATATTGTAAAAGTTAGTCTAAACTGTGAAATTAACTCAGTCTCCATCTGACATTAACTTAATTATTTGAAGGTGGTGATGAATCTGATGAAAACAATTAAAGGAGCATTAATAGCGTCTCTACTCTATCTTTTCAAAATGCAGTCAGTCATATTGGCTCCACCTGCCACCTGGAGAAGGTTATAAGAAGCATTTTGTAAACCTTGAGTAGTCATTTCAAACAGCCAGCCAAGGAGGCCCCATCGTCTGCTAAAAGTCCAAAACACTGGCTGCCAGATTGAAGAGGCCATGTTTCTTTTGCACAGAGAAAGTCGGGCTGAGAAAGAGCAAAAACCAGGGTTAACAGACGTTTGGCTTTTTGAGATGGGCAGTGTTAAAAGCAGCCAAAGAACTCTAAATTAATTCAGATGTGGTGCTTTTCCTTCTGGATGTGTTAACATTAGGGACATGATCATGGTTTTACATTTATATTGAATTCATATATTTTAATTTCAAATTATTCAAGCTTGGTATAATGTCAGTGCTTTGTTCCACATTAGCAGTAACCACAGAGTTCTACTGGGATTTCCACATTTACTCGTTAGTCAGCTAATGCTAGCTTTGGACTGGAGGCTGCATTTTGTTCAGGTTGTTGCAACCAGGCATCTGTAGTTTACACTGTTGCTAGGAAACAAGACGTGATGAGAAGGGCAAAGAGCAGTTCGGAGGGGCTTCTGGTGTGAGTTTGCTATGAGTCTCACTAGACCCTCTAGCAGCTGAATAGAAATTAGGTAGATTAGTTTTCTGAGAATGAATGTGTAACACTGCCACAGACTGTTAACTGGCTGTTGTCCCCTGCATAATTTCATTTTATTCATTTTCCCGCTCACATATGAGAGTCATTGAAATATTACCTCCCACTGCTGATTCCTTAGTCATTTTGTATCCGCACTGTAGACATTCACACTTTTTTCTGTACAATGACACGAGTTGAAACACTTATAGCTCTGCAATTTTCCCCTTTTTGTCAAAGAGATGTCATTACACACACACACAAAAAAAAATTCAATTCAACTGCAACAGATTCAAGGCAGTTCTTAGACTGAATTGTGCTCTGCTCTAAGGCCATCTCTCGTCAGTTGGCCCCTTCACTTTCCACTCATTACTTGGTCAATCTGCCCACTTTCACATGTGATACAGAAGTATTGGAGCAGCTAAGGCTGAGAAAATGCTGCACTGATGTGTGTATGTGTGAGTGAAAGCAAAGGAAGGACAACATAATGTAGGAATGGAGGATTTGTGTGTGCATGCATGTGTAATATGGACCTACAGCAGAAATTGTGTTTTCACGCTGTATTTGTTAAGTTGTAAAGGACAGTCTGACACTGTCACTCCTCTCATCTTGCTCTGGAAAGAGCTCTGCTGATGACTTTATGCTCTACAGATTTTGAGGCAGGAACAAAGCATAAACCAACAAAACAATGGTCATTTAATTTATTTAATTACAAGTATCTGAATGTACTTGTTGATAAAACCAGATAATGCCTTTAGAAAATATTCAGACCCCTTCACTGTTTTTGTACATTTTATTCTATTGTACATTTAAATTTAAATGCATCTGGATTGGAAAAGCTTTGAATATTTTTGTAAATGGGAGATTTCACTTTTTTTTCTAATATAATAAATTTGCAAAAACTTCTAAAAACATGTTTTCACTTTGCCATTGTGGATAATTGAATAAAGAATGAAGTATAAAGATGGCATTTTTATCCATTTAAATTTAAAATCTACAATGTGAGTGTAGACTTTTTGCAAAGTTGGCTAAAACAAAAGGAATCCCAACCCATTATGAAGCTACTGTAATTATTAAACAAATGGCATCTATTTACAGCAGTGTCAAATAGCCAGTTTTCATCAAAAGATTAACACCTCCACTGTCTAATTTAATTGCGCCTCTCCTGCTACCGGTACACGATGTGCCCTACGCTTGGCATCAAAGAAAATAGGAACATATCTTGCAATAGTCTATCCTTTGACAAAAATGAAGCGCTGGATATTTTAAAGATAAATATTTTCATGACAATATGTGAAAAACATATAGAAGACGCAAAAGTTCTTACAGTGTTTGTTTGACAGATTTCTAATTAGAGGAAAGATGAGGAATGTAAACTCTGCAGCCTTGAAGTTGAAGGATTGTATTTAGTGTTTGTTTTTGTGTTTGTTTCAAAGAAAGACCTTGACTGAGCAATGCATGATTCTCAACAGTGAAACATCCTAACAAGCAACACAATGGCTCAGCAAATGCCTTTAATGACTACGCTGTCTGTCTCCATTTATGGTTTTGGTTCAGGTTAACTTTCAGTCTCATAATTGAATCCCAGTGCTGTTCAACACATGTACTGACAGCGGTGTTTCTCAGTGCCAGTCACAATCATAAACAGGGTAACCAAAAATGTCACAGACTAACATCCTAAAAGCTAGACTTAGCTGGGAGAGTTGCATCTTTAAAACTGAGACAAAACCATTTGCAGGCAACACAATTTTGATTGTATAATGTGCGTCCCTTGAGAAGAAGCTGAAAATACACTGAGTGCAGCATAGTGAACCAAAACAACCTGTACTGGCCATTGTCCACAGATGTATGTGGCCATATAGTACTGTACATACAGAACAAGTCCCACAAACTCTTTCTAACCTGCAAAATTGCAAAACCTCCTGTTGGCATAAGCAATAATGAAAGAACTAAAAGGCATTCTTGGAGAGTGTATTCAAATCAGGTTTTGCATGATCTTTTTTCTGTGTTAAAAACATCAAATTATAAAGTATAATAAAAAATTCTTCTCCAAAATATACTCACGAGTGCCATCAAAGTGGTTGGCAATAGCATCCAAGAAGGTGTTTTGTGGCGCAAGAAGGCCCTTCATCACAGGCATCTTGTACTAAAAGAAGCTGCAGACTCTCATACAGCAGCTTCCAGCAGATTATCACCATTCCCCAAAGAAGACTTGAAAGAGAACCATGGTGCCTCTCAGTGGGCTCGCATGAAACTCCTCTACAAGGTTGTAATGAAATGTAAGTTGTTTCTATTCTGTGCTGCCAAGAGAAAACCACAGACTTGCATCACACAGAAATATAATTTCTTCTTAGGAGGAGTGCTCCGAGGTGTTGTAGCTTCTCTCTCAGTATTGTTCTTCACTCTGCTCACTGCACTGCTCCAGTATCACAGTGAAGCGTCAGCCTCTCTTCAATCAGTCTGTCTCCACTCACTATGGTTCCTGCCATCCCTAAGTCCCCTGCCTCTCTCGCTACCTCCCTCTCTCATACAACAGCCTGAATCTGAACATATCTATCTAAATGGATAGATAGATCTGGCTTTGGTTGCTGTGGATACTCTGCAACACAGAGGACAAGACAATAGTTAGTCTTATTTGGAGTCTGTATAAAGATTTTTTAAAATATTTTCCCCCCAGCCCTTCTATGAACATATGGAGATCAAAGGTCAGGTTGAACAAAGCACAGAACAAGGACATTATAGCATCTGCTGCTAAGCTTGTAGAATCTATCACCTTGCTGTGTGTATCACCACATCTATATCACATTTTCTTTGCCACCCTTATATATAGGTAAACAAACACCCCCACAGCTGCTGTAACATGACAGTATAAGCCCCCCAAGCAGTTGTTCTTGAAAATGTCCCTCAGTTTTGTGTGTGTGTCAAGGAAGTGGACTATTTTCATGAGCCAGCAGAGTAGGCTACCAATCTGACACCAAAGCAGTTTGCTTTTCCTTAATTTGTACTCACTGCAATTACAAACAGCATTGTTACAGTATAAAGATACAGTATAAAAAAGGTCAAATTAATCACATATTGCTAAAAGTAAGAAACAAACATGTATCTGTGTGTATCATGTAGCCTTGTGTTACTTAAGTTTACAGTTGTAAGGCCAATATGGAAAAGCTACAACGTGGCAGCCTGTCTGTCTGCACATTGAGCTACTCAGTTCAAGAACATGTCCAATCTAGTCTAAGTCAAAGGTGTAGTTGAATGCTAGAGTGATCAGAAAATGTGGTTTTTACCTTAGAACGAGGACAGAAAATCCAGGTATTATTCCACATCATAATGCTCCTCTGAAACAAAAGCACACTGGCCAGATAGAGCCAAATAAAACAGAAACCAGTCTCAGTGAGGGACTTTGTGACTATTCACTAGTGAAAGATAAAAAGAAATCGGTTTACATTCAATACTTTTAAATGTAATACGTTAAAATTGGTGTAATTTAACATATTAGACGAAACCTGAAAACCTAGTAATACAAAATTTGATTTCTTTTTTAAAAGGAAAATATAGCCTGGGTAAGAATTAATAGCTGATGGAGAAAGTACACATCAAAAACAAGCTTTTTGAGAAATACCTGAACTATGAATGAATTTGTATTGAAGTGTTCTTGCATTAAAAAGCACAAGTGTCAAATGCCCTAGATTATTCATTTTGCAAAACTCATCCTTTGTTATATGTCTTGGTTAGCAAGTGAATATACATTAAACTGTGCTGATCAAACTGTGCTGTATAGTACCACACAGATCACACTTTTTACTTCTTATTCAGCCAGCATTATGCTGAATCAAAGGCAAATATCCTTGCTCACATTTTTGTCAAGGCAAAATTAAGTAATGGCAAAAACTATTATATATAAATGTTAATAAAATATGCAAGTATATAATATTGGATAATTTTATGTTTCAGAAATCAGGTTTTTTTCTACACGACCAGTATCACTACCTTTCCTTCCTTTTTTACCAGCACCATCTTGTGGTCCACGTTATTCCCACAATGAGATGGGCTCCTGGGTGTCATGCTAAATCAGAATACAAACATGAGCCATGTCACCCTGGTGTTATTCTGCATATTGCTGTTTAAATAAAAGTTATTATATATCAGATCATCAGTGTTCTCAATCCTCATGAAGTGATTCCAATTTGTGTAAGTAGGTTTTTCTGTTAATATTATTTCATAGCAACAAAGTTTGAAATAGGAGCCAAATAAAAATACTGCATCCACATGTCTGGAATGTTCATAGCTATAAACACCCAGCTGTCAGAATCAGTCATTTTTCAGATAGATAAATAGCGTATAATAAAACACTGGAAAAACTTTATCTTAATTTATACATAAGCACTCAGATTCTTTAAGTAAAAATAGCAATAGTACAGTGTAAAAATACTGTTAACAGTAAACATTCTGCATTTAAAATGCTACTTAAGTAATACTGCAAAGGTATTAACATCATTTTACAATAATTCATATCATGTTATTGGATTATAATTATTGAAGCATAACTGTATAACTACTGAATACTAAGTAAAGCTATCAAATAAATGTAGTGGAGTAAAAAGTACAATATTTAATTCTGAGAAGTTGAAGTATAAAGTAGCAGAAAATTAAAATCCTTAAAATAAGTAAAGCACAGAGACTCACTCTGCTCACTGCACTGCTCCAGTACCACAGTGAAGCGTCAGCCTCTCTTCAATCAGTCTGTCTCCACTCACTATGGTTCCTGCCATCCCTAAGTCCCCTGCCTCTCTCGCTACCTCCCTCTCTCATACAACAGCCTGAATCTGAACATATCTATCTAAATGGATAGATAGATCTGGCTTTGGTTGCTGTGGATACTCTGCAACACAGAGGACAAGACAATAGTTAGTCTTATTTGGAGTCTGTATAAAGATTTTTTAAAATATTTTCCCCCCAGCCCTTCTATGAACATATGGAGATCAAAGGTCAGGTTGAACAAAGCACAGAACAAGGACATTATAGCATCTGCTGCTAAGCTTGTAGAATCTATCACCTTGCTGTGTGTATCACCACATCTATATCACATTTTCTTTGCCACCCTTATATATAGGTAAACAAACACCCCCACAGCTGCTGTAACATGACAGTATAAGCCCCCCAAGCAGTTGTTCTTGAAAATGTCCCTCAGTTTTGTGTGTGTGTCAAGGAAGTGGACTATTTTCATGAGCCAGCAGAGTAGGCTACCAATCTGACACCAAAGCAGTTTGCTTTTCCTTAATTTGTACTCACTGCAATTACAAACAGCATTGTTACAGTATAAAGATACAGTATAAAAAAGGTCAAATTAATCACATATTGCTAAAAGTAAGAAACAAACATGTATCTGTGTGTATCATGTAGCCTTGTGTTACTTAAGTTTACAGTTGTAAGGCCAATATGGAAAAGCTACAACGTGGCAGCCTGTCTGTCTGCACATTGAGCTACTCAGTTCAAGAACATGTCCAATCTAGTCTAAGTCAAAGGTGTAGTTGAATGCTAGAGTGATCAGAAAATGTGGTTTTTACCTTAGAACGAGGACAGAAAATCCAGGTATTATTCCACATCATAATGCTCCTCTGAAACAAAAGCACACTGGCCAGATAGAGCCAAATAAAACAGAAACCAGTCTCAGTGAGGGACTTTGTGACTATTCACTAGTGAAAGATAAAAAGAAATCGGTTTACATTCAATACTTTTAAATGTAATACGTTAAAATTGGTGTAATTTAACATATTAGACGAAACCTGAAAACCTAGTAATACAAAATTTGATTTCTTTTTTAAAAGGAAAATATAGCCTGGGTAAGAATTAATAGCTGATGGAGAAAGTACACATCAAAAACAAGCTTTTTGAGAAATACCTGAACTATGAATGAATTTGTATTGAAGTGTTCTTGCATTAAAAAGCACAAGTGTCAAATGCCCTAGATTATTCATTTTGCAAAACTCATCCTTTGTTATATGTCTTGGTTAGCAAGTGAATATACATTAAACTGTGCTGATCAAACTGTGCTGTATAGTACCACACAGATCACACTTTTTACTTCTTATTCAGCCAGCATTATGCTGAATCAAAGGCAAATATCCTTGCTCACATTTTTGTCAAGGCAAAATTAAGTAATGGCAAAAACTATTATATATAAATGTTAATAAAATATGCAAGTATATAATATTGGATAATTTTATGTTTCAGAAATCAGGTTTTTTTCTACACGACCAGTATCACTACCTTTCCTTCCTTTTTTACCAGCACCATCTTGTGGTCCACGTTATTCCCACAATGAGATGGGCTCCTGGGTGTCATGCTAAATCAGAATACAAACATGAGCCATGTCACCCTGGTGTTATTCTGCATATTGCTGTTTAAATAAAAGTTATTATATATCAGATCATCAGTGTTCTCAATCCTCATGAAGTGATTCCAATTTGTGTAAGTAGGTTTTTCTGTTAATATTATTTCATAGCAACAAAGTTTGAAATAGGAGCCAAATAAAAATACTGCATCCACATGTCTGGAATGTTCATAGCTATAAACACCCAGCTGTCAGAATCAGTCATTTTTCAGATAGATAAATAGCGTATAATAAAACACCGGAAAAACTTTATCTTAATTTATACATAAGCACTCAGATTCTTTAAGTAAAAATAGCAATAGTACAGTGTAAAAATACTGTTAACAGTAAACATTCTGCATTTAAAATGCTACTTAAGTAATACTGCAAAGGTATTAACATCATTTTACAATAATTCATATCATGTTATTGGATTATAATTATTGAAGCATAACTGTATAACTACTGAATACTAAGTAAAGCTATCAAATAAATGTAGTGGAGTAAAAAGTACAATATTTAATTCTGAGAAGTTGAAGTATAAAGTAGCAGAAAATTAAAATCCTTAAAATAAGTAAAGCACAGAGACTCCAAAATTGTACTTAAGTACAGTTCTTGAGTAAATGTACTTAGTTACATTCCACCACTTTATAAAATATCCTTAGATCTGATAGGAAACACATGCAAGAATGACTAAAGACATGTTGTCAGCTTTATGATTTTATTATATACATATGTACAAAATTACGTCTCCAACATTGTCTGACAGGCAAATGCAAATGATATCACATTCAAAAAGGCTCAGTTCAAAGAACATTATGAAATAGTTTCCACATGAGCAAACCTACATTTATAAGATAAATCCCACTTATTTTGCCAGTGTTATCTACCTACATTTCAACAGTGTCCCAGTATACTTGAGGAACCCATTTTCAAACAGACAGGGGAGGAGGTGATGGTAGTTCCTGACTGAGATATCCAGTCCATGTACTGCTCTCCAGCCCTCTCTTCAGTCCTTTTCCCCAAAGTCAGGATCCCTTCTGCTTGGTTCCTGGAGCTTTGGAGGAGTTGGTAGAGTCGGCTCTGCAAGCGGTGCTCGCCTTCTCTCCGTTTACCCAGCGTGAGGATGCCAGTGGCAGCATCTTCTGTGAGCGGTCCCCCTGAGTTCTTACTGCCAGAACGACACAGCAACACATGGAGGCGGCAGGAGCGAGATGGTTGTGTGCAGCACTTGGATATATTGTGAGCATTACAGGTCAGGTGAGACAGAAGCAACACCAAGACCAGCACGAGGACTTTCTGCTGGGTGAAAGAGATTAGTTTATGTTCAGATAAACTAATACAAAGATCAAAGGTCCATGTGTAGTTGGGCAGACCGAAAGAAACAAGAAGTGCTTTTGAAATATACTTTTTATAGAGTAATTTAGTGGTATTTAAAATGTATAATTGCTGATTATTGCAAACTGAGGGCCCAGCAGACAAGGGCGGAAGTCGGAGGACCCAGAAGAAACCCACACAGGCAGGAGAGGACATGCAAACTTCACATAAAAGGCCCTAGTCAGCACCATTGTGCTGCCCCATAAAACCTCCTGTTAGAAAAAGCATCCTGAAAGAACAGAATGATCTTATTTTGCAAAGGTTGTGCAATTGAAAATGTGGGATTTAGCAATTATAATGGGCTAACAGGCAATTTACCTACATCCTAGGCTATAATTTGTAAATTTTTATTTTATAGGAACAGATACATAATAACAGAGGGGCACATACTGTATAGTCTAAGCTAATTTGCAACCCTTTTTCTTAGATACTGGTAATGAGACTAAACATAAACACTGACGTATGATACTACAGGAAGATACTGATTTCAGTGGCAGCGTCAGGCCCTGTTATGATCTATATTGATTCCCTGGACAGGGAAATCCATTTACCCAAAATGTGTGCTACAATTTAGTGTAAATGCAACCTAAGTGGTTTCATATTGTGGTTTCACCATCTCAATGCAACACTTAGGATTTTAGTGACATGGTGAAACAGTTTCAGGTGTAAAAATGCATAGCGTCTCAGTAAAGCTAAAAGATACAGTGCCTTGCGAAAATATTCGGCCCCCTTGAACTTTGCGACCTTTTGCCACATTTCAGGCTTCAAACATAAAGATATAAAACTGTAATTTTTTGTGAAGAATCAACAACAAGTGGGACACAATCATGAAGTGGAACGAAATTTATTGGATATGTCAAACTTTTTTAACAAATAAAAAAACTGAAAAATTGGGCGTGCAAAATTATTCAGCCCC